TTATTTTAATTTCTAGAGTATTTATTAATTATAAAATTATTCTTATATCGTACCGCGGGCGGGCTGTTGCCCTTTCACCCCCAATCCACGTAACGAAACTCCAGCAATTTGGATTAGTCATACCTAAGAGGCTTGCGCATGGTTCTCGTCTCGAGTGACGATGAAGAAGAAGGGATCGCGATAGAGGCTCTACCGACTGCGAAGCCCGAGCAAGGAGAGAGAGGAAGACAATGGAGTAGCATTTCTCTTCTTCTTATGTTCATCTCCATCTTTCTTTCTCTCTCATTCCGTATCTTTGACTTCGAGCAGGCATGATTCTCGTGAGCGGCTGCGACTCCTGTTCTCCATCACGGGAACCGCGATCTCGGAGGATAGGTTTATTGTATGCACAAGCCGATCATGAAGATGATGCTTTTGCTAGAATTCAGCTTGGAACATGACCGGAACCAGCGACTTCTGTTCTCCATCACGGGAACCGCGATTTCGGAGGACAAGTTTATTGTATGCACAAGCCGATCATGAAGATGACGCTTTTGCTAGAATTCAGCTTGGAACATGACCGGAAATGGAGGAGGCAAGGACAGAACGACGGCTTCTTCCTCGGCACAGGCGCCGCTCGAGTGGAAATTCTCTCAGGTGTTTGGTGAGCGGACCGTTGGAGAAGAAGTTCAGGAAGGTATGTTCTTATCGGTTCACAACCAGGCTTTTTTCTCCTTGCTTATGTTATTTGTTCTTTTTTTAGATGCGTTTGTTTGATGCTTCTTCTTGTTTCAGAGTAAATTGATTTTCATCAAATAGGGAATGGTAGATTTTAGTATGATTTGTTTGGCATGGGAAGTGGTTTAAGTATGACTTTGTTTGGCGCAGCTGTAACTTCCCAGCTTTTCAGCTGCAGCTGCGCTGCCCCAGGCAACTGCCCGGGTAAACTGATTGTCTGTTTGGTGCAACTGTGTGAAAACAACTGTGGGGCAGCTATTTCTGGAGAAATGACGATGCTACCCTTGTTTCTTAAAACATTGTTTGGTTGCCCAAAACTGTGACAAATCAAGAACAAAGCTTGATTGATTTTAAAGTGAATCAACAAGGCTCGATTGATTTTAAAGTGAATCACACCCTCCATCCAATACAGACCATTGCTACATGTGGGTGAAAGAAAACAAAGCAGCAGACAACAGATATTTTAGGGATACAAATAAATTGATTTTAACATCGCAAATTTCTTTCCAGAAATTTCTCAAAAGATTCAAACGAGCACTGCGAAATATTCACAACATCAAGCCAAGAAGTTTTTCTGATGAAGAACAATCAAGTGATCCCAACAATGGCATACCCGAAAAATTTAAAATAAAAAGACGAACCTTGCTGGATCGCTTGAGATGGGCAGCGTATGCCCTTACAAACTCGTGAGGTGACACATCCTTCACTGTCCTTCTAGCCTTAAGCCCCTCCATTGTCGTCCTTGCCGTCTCTAATGTTCCAGTCACTCGCAGAGAGATGTAGCTAGGCTCCTTGCCGCCTCCATCGAAGCCCCTACGAAAGCCAACACCGCCGTTAGGGCGGATTTTCTGTCGCGGAGGAGAGGAAAGGAAAGGGGGGAAGATCGCGACTTCCTCTTCTTTCATGGGATCTACTGTCGCGGAAGGGGCACAGGGGTAAAAAGACAATCGACGAAGCTGGACCGCACGTAAGAGGTAGCTTTCCGCGTTGGCACCAAATCACGTTACGTCGCGGGGGCACCGCCGCCCCAAAACGGGGGAAAGTAGCGGCACAGTGCCGCGTCGCATGTCCCCCGCCGCCCCAAACGCACCCTATGTTGAATACAGATTTATGCTTCAACTAGATTGATTGATCTAATTTGGCTTTACATAGTTTCAAATTTCAGCCCAAATGAAATTTTTATTTTAATTCAGTGTTAAGCTTATTTGAGATGATTATTAATTTGATTTGAAAATTTGTGCTATTGGGGAATGGTGAAGTATTAGGTGTTCAAAATTAATAAATTTTAATTTAGTATTGTGTTATTTATTTTTTGTACTGTTTTTAACTCGTTTTTTGCTTCTCGAGCAACAAATACATTGCTTGAACAGTTTTGTTGCAAACAAATTTACTACACATGGGCATAATCATCATTTATTTAAAAAACATATGCAAATTAGTAGTTTTCAAACTTCTCCAAACAGTCAGACAGCTTATCGGATCAGCTGTTGATCAACAACTTATCCAGATAAACTGTTTATCAACAGATCATTAATTGCTACAGCTGCCCAAAAAAGACCATTATTTAACCATTTAAGCTATTTGATTAGAATATGAGTTTAATTTTGCATATTAATAATATTAGTATTGAAAATAAATAATTATTTTTTTGTTAAATTTTTCATAATTATACCATTCAATAATTAATTATTTTCAAACTAAATAATCAACAATAATAGATTGCTAAACTAATTATATTAAATAGTAGTTAAATAATTATTAATTAGTAATTGATTCATTATTTATTAATGTAATTAATATTTATTAAAATATTATTTAACTAATTAAATGTAAAATGTAAATTACTTTTCATTAAGTATTTACTGAACAACTATTAAGTTTATATAGTTAAAATTAAATTGATAACATATTAATCAATAATTATTAATGAATTAAGTTAATAATAATTAACTCAATAAATTTTGATCGAAGCCGCAAACTTATATTCTATTTTTGCTCTTCTGCCTTAATTATTCGCGAGTCTCCCCACCCTTTTCCCAATTTTGCCCAAAGTATTGCCTCAGTTACTGATTTCTTGCAATACAGTCTTGATTCGAGATAGCTAATAAGGCAAAATCAGGATCACAATGTGCCAACATCTCTGAAACTCTCATATTTCTTCCCATTCTCTTCCATCCCTACTCGAAAGCATTGAGGAAGTTAATCCTTATGTTTCTCCCCCATCCTCCCAACCATCTTCATGCATTTCAACATCTTTAGAACCTGTAAATTCTTCTTCAATGGGATGTACTAAATCTCGAAACCTTTTGCATACATGACAACTATTTTAATTTAATTTAGCATGATTTAGTAAATCCTATAAATTCATATTTAGTAAATCTTGAAAGGACTAAATCTAAAAAGTTTGTTGGTGACAGATTTAGTAAAGCCGATTAAATTCTATGAAATTGTTACCAACTTATGCTATGATTTTAAAATTTATAAAGTCATAATGAAAAATTTGTTTATTTTATTATTACGACAAAAAATAGTAATTTAATTTAATTTAATTTAATTTAAAAAATATTATTAGTATACCAATTATGATTAATTAATTACTAAATAAATTAATTAGTTTAATTTTTTAAAAATAATTACTTATTAAGCATTTATTTAATATTAATCAATTATTAATTTATTAATTAAGGATGTATCTTGAATTAAATAACTATTAAGCAATTTAAGAATTATTTTTAATTAAAGAAGTAAATATAAATTTATGTAATGACAATTAATTAAGCATTAATAATTATTATCAAATTAAATTAATAAATTAACTTAAATAAAACTAAATCAAAACAAGAATCGCACCTCCCCTTCCTCTCTTGTCCGCCGGAAACCCTCGCCCACATCACTTCCGTTCTCCCAGTTGGCCCGAAGACTCTTCCCCTCTCCCGGTTTCACCGAAAGCATCTCCTTCGTGACCGAAACGATCGCGGTACATTCACCATTAGTGCTAACTGGGAAAGCAGCGGCGGGATGGCGGCGTACTGAGACCGAAACTCCCATCTTTCTTCTCCTTCCGTACGGCTCCTACCCGAAACAATGGAGGCAGATGAAGGAAGGTAACTTCATGGCTTGCTTTTCGCGCGAATTGTCCGTCCCGAATTTAGCCGATTCAAGGATTTAGTAAATCCGGTATTTTGGGCGGAAATCAGTAAAATCAGGATTTGTGAAGTCCGCAGCTTCATTTTGTCCAAACTGACCGTCTGGCAGGATTTAGGTAAATTTCAGGTCAAATCCTGCTCTAATCCGTTAGGAGAAAGCTTTTATTAAACACGACATACTTGCTTTTTGCAGGATTTAGGTTAAATCCTGCTCAAATCTTGCTCATATCCTGCTGATTGGCTTAGGGATCGCCGGAATTGCATCGGGAGATCTGTAGAAGGCCAAGATGGGAGAGAGGAAGGTCCTCAACAAGTATTATCCGCCGGATTTCGATCCGGCGAAAATCCCCAGAAGGAGGCAGCTGAAAAATCAACAAATGAAGGTCCGCATGATGCTTCCCATGAGCATCCGCTGCGCAACTTGTGGGACTTATATCTACAAGGGAACAAAGTTCAACTCCCGAAAGGAAGATGTTATTGGGGAGGTATAGCCGCTAGATTCTCTATGCATTATTTACATTTCCCGAGCAGTGTCCTGATTGCCTTCTAATTTTTCTTTTATGATGGTTACTACTTTGTTTTGCTACTAGATGTTAATTTCTCTTTTTAGGGTTTCTTTTAGGCGCTGTTTGGTTGCAAGTTTCAGGATTTAAGTTAGGTTCTGTTTAATAAATTGTAATTCCCCTTCCTGAATCCAACCGATTTAATGCTCCTGATTAATTTCTCTTGGCTTTTTAAATCCCAAATAGAGATCCTTAGGGCGACATGAAAAGCTTCAAACGAGAGAACAAGCGGCTGTCTTGGGCTTTGAATGAGAGAATGAGTGGCCAGCAAGGGCTCTGAACGAGAGAACGGGCTGTCATGGGTGGGAGAGAGGGAGGAAGAGAGAGAGAGAGAGAGAGAGAGAGGGAGAGAGAGAGAGAGAGCTACACGTGAAGTTCTTCAAGTGGAGGTTAGATGCAGAGCGATACTTGCATTTAGGGCATGTTGTGCTAAGGTGATGGAGTTCTTGGACCTGTACTTATCATCTTCGATGGCATCAACTCCCCTATCTTTCTCTACACAATCGTCTTCTTCTTTTTCTTTCTTTGGGAGGCTAAGTTTACTTTCAACTCATAATTATAGTTTTGATAAATCTTTGCTATTTTGAGAATTAATCGAGAAGATTATTGAGCCAAATCTTTTAACCTAGATTTATTCTCATCCATGTTGAGAAATCTATGAAGACATCATCTTTTTTGTATTTGTATATGCATATTAAAATAATGTATTTTTTCAATGTATAATACCTTTTTTTTAGAGTTAATGTCTTATAAAATTTTTGAAAAAACATCAGAAATATACATTTAACTATAATGCATTCAGTCAAAGATGGAGACATTTTATTCCCGTTATTATGGCCATCTAATTCATTCCCTATATCTTCCTGGTTGAGTGAATATATAAATTGGTATATTGAACATGTTATATTAATGGGAACTTATAAAACTAATAAGAAAACTAAGATTTTAGTGTTTAAATATATTTAATTGATCTTTACAATTATTTAAACGTTCAAGATATAATATTTTGAATATATAATTGATTATGATCTTGAATTTACGGTTATTAGAGCATTATGTGTTGGGGAAAAAAGAGTCTTGAATTTAGGGTTATTAGAGCATTATGTGTTGGGGAAAAAAGAGTAACATTATGATCGTTATCAAGGACTATTTATAATCTACATTAGGTAGGTTACTTTTTATTAAGCAAGAGATAAACATTCATTTTCTCGTTAGGGGTGCTTTCCTTGCTATTTGTTAGTGTATTTTTATTATTTATAAATTTATATGGAACATACACATTTAGTCAATATATTTCACATTATCATGTTGATGTGGTTGTTAGTTTTAACTTGATTTATTGATGCACAAACTTCTATACATTCAATTTTTCTGAGTTGAATTTTATTTAACTCTGCATTACTCCTGTCAAATGCAAAGTCTTTTATTTGTGTATATATAAATAATAATGATTCATTGCTAATAATACTTTGAAAAATGTCTGGCTTATAATATATGAAATATGCATGATTATTATAATAATATATATGTTGATATTAAACCTTTTTGGATGTTGGCGAGCCGATCAACGGGTTCACAGAGTGACAATTCTTCATGAAATTATTAGATTTTTTTGGATTGGTGCATTCCTTTTCCGGTTTTACTGTGTCATAGTAAATCAACTATAAATGTAGACATATACAATTATATATAAAATAAAGATCAATATATAATTAAGGAGTCATTCATGGGACATACATATAAGATACATGTAAATGAATATGTTGCCATGTGGACACAATGATCATTTGTTTATAAAGATGTTTATTTTTCCTTTTTTTGGTTGAACATTATTGGATTCATTTCAATTAGAAAAATCACATATTTTGCATGTTGTTTGGAACTGTTATAATACAACAAATATTTTATTCATGTTCATTTCTTTGCTCATATTATGCACTGAGCCATGCCATTTGTATTCTGCTAAGTGAGATTTCACCTATTGAATTTATTTCTGACAAACTCACACATTAAATTGATGAATTTCAGGTTGCCAGCCATGCATTGAGAAATGAGTTTTTTATACTTATGCTTTAGGTGTAACATTGAGGTTGGTTAAGGTTCGGATCATTTAATTTGATTCAATCGTGCTGTCATATTTTATTTTGTATTTTGAAGATAAATTTGTGTGAAAATTTTGGATTTAGATGCTATGATGATCTCATTGGTGGATAAATATTATTATAATCATTTTTAGATTGATTTGGTTTTTTTAAAATATTTTCAGCTCACATCCTCTTGCAAGGTTTTTCTTGAGTTATTTTCAAGCCCGATGGGCAGAGTGTGGTTGTAGTATCAGAGCCTAGGTTTGATCTTCTATACTTAATTTTAGTAGGGATTATTTTTAGGTAGAATTTAGCATTTAAAAATTTTAGTTTTATGATTATGATGTAGATACCATTAGACTGGAATTGGGGATTGTAAATATGTATATTTTTATTAGTAAAATTCATATGTTTAAATTGAGTTGTATATTAATTTTGGATAATGTATTAGGTGATGAAGATTTCTATAACTGTAGCATTTTAGGGACATAATAATTTTGGAGGATTTATATTGGAAACATTATGATGTGTTAATATTCTTAGATCATATAAATATTTAATATTGTTTAAAAAGGCGTTCAAGGCTTATGTCTTGAGGCTCTCCTCATACACAGGCATACAAAAAAAGCCTTGAGGATTGAGTCTCAATATCTCCAGCGAGGCATATGTATTATTCCACTAAAGTGTACGCCTCAAGACTTCATGCTCCGAGACATTTAAGACAACGCCTCTCTTAAGTTAGACAAAAATATATATTATATTGCATTATGTTGATATATTATGTAATATTTAATACAATGCCTCAAAAAGTTCAAAAGATAATTTAAGTATAATTACTTGATTTTGTTTTTAATTTAATCTTTTATTTTAAATTTTATCTGATTTCAATATAATTGATAGTTAGAAGAAAATTATATTACAATAACAATAAGAAGATGACTTTCTGCTACTAAATGGGGTCGGCTATGTCAATCCTTTTTCTCCATTGCGCCCTATCGAGTGTTATATTTTCATTTAATTCTAATGGATTAAGATAATTTTTTATGCAATATGCTCAAGTCTTTTTAGATCTTCATCTGTCTTTCTTAACATTTGTCGAAGCTAAAACACCTACTCTCCTAACTGGATCATCATATAGTCGACGTTTATAATGTGACCAAACCATCTATGACGACTCTCTCTAATCGTGTCCGCCACTGATGCTACACCAACCCAAAGTGTCAAGCCACTCATCCAGTTAAGTATTCTCATCTCAGCAACATTTAACTTTGGTTTATACTTCTCTTTTAAAGGCGAACATTCTGCACCATAGAGCATTGCAGGTCCCACCAGTATCTTATAACTTTTAGTTTAAGCGACACTTTTCTATCACACAATAGGCCCGAAGCATTCATCCACTTCAACCAACCAACTTGAACTCTACTAATAACTTTCCCATCTTTATTGCCATCACTCTGAACAATATACCCGAGATATCTAAAACATTCACACCTTTTAATGATTTGATCACTAATAGTTACAACTCTGCCACTAGAGCTACTACTACTATAATTACTTTCTATGTATTCAGTTTTAGTTTTACTCAAAAAAAGACCTTTAGACTTCAATATAGACTTCCATAATTCAAGTTTTTTCTGAGCTCTTTTTCTATTCTTATCCACAAGAAGGGTATCATCAGTGAGAAACATACACTAAGGTACATTCTCTTGTAAATGTCCAGTAAGCGCATCCAATATAGACCTTCATAATTCAAGTTTTTTTCTGAGCTCTTTATCAAGTCTTATCCACAAGAAGGATATAATCAGTGAAAAGCATACACCAAGGTACATCCTCTTGTAAATGTTCAATAATCGCATCCATAACTAAAGCAAAAAATATGGGCTTAAAGCCAATCCCTGATGTAATCCAATCGAAATAGTAAATACTTTGTTAATCCTCATTCTGTTCGAACAAAAGTAACAACTTTAGTATAAATACCTTTACTAACTTGAATATAAGTCATATCGACATCTTTTTTCTCTATAACTATTTAAAGGACTTCTCTTGGAACATTATCTGAAGTTTTTTTTTAAATAAATAAAAATCATATGTAGATCATTCTTATTCTTTCCGTACTTCTCCATCAAACCTCTCAATAAATATATAGCTTCCATGTTACATTTGCCTGACATAAATCCAAACTGATTATGAGAAATCTTTGTATCACGCCTTAATCTATGTTCAATTATCCTCTCCCATAATTTTAAAGCGTGACACATCAACTTAATTCCTCTATAATTAGCACACTCCCGTGTATCCTCTTTATTCTAAAAATGGGGACAAAAATACTATTTCTTTACTCAAGTATCTTTTTAGTTTTGAAAATAATTTTAATGAGTTTAGTAAGCCAAGAAACTCTCAAATTTTCTAAATATTTCCACACTTCAATGATGATATCATCAAGTTCTACTAATTTTGCACCCCTTGGTTCTCTTTAAAGCCTTTTCATCTTTTTTTACTAATGCGATAGTAAAAATAAATCATTTTATTATTATTAACGATATCACGATCATTAAGGTCGATGGTATTTTTCAGAAACTTATTTGAAAAATTTATCAAAATAACTCGCCCACAACCTTCTTATAAGAAAAACTCTTTCATCTTTAATACATTTTACTTTAGTTAAATTTTTATTTTTCTTATCTCTTTGTTTAACTAGTTTATAAATTTATTTTTTACTCTTTTTAGTATTTAATCTATTATGAATATCACAAAAAACATAATTTTCAGCGTCACATTGTTCTCTTAGATTCCCCACGGGCCACATTATATTTTTCCCAAATCTCCAAGCTTTTACAC